GACATGCTAAAAATTTCCCCCTAACCTCCAACCAATGTCATCAAATAATGTAGGATTATTGCTAAACTTACCTTGAAATTTTGGGATCAAATTGTCATCTCCCATGCCTGAAGAAGGTCCTTCATTTTCACATATCACAAGCAGAAACGTAAAAGTAAGAAGAGGCTTTATTTTATAGTAGGTGATATTACACTTGAATAAAGTAATTATTACATGTACACAAAAAATGTTTATACTTGATGCAATAATTTGCTAATTTACAAATAAGTATAAGTTGTACTCGAAACAAGATTTTATCTAGAATTGTCTGGAGTATAGTTATAATCTTAATTTCAATACTAGGTAAATCTTAAATAAAAGATAAATTTTCTTAGCTTCTAAGGATAAGGTTTTCTTGAAAAGAAGTATAACTAGATTTGCGGAATGGGGAAACTAGCATATCGTTGGTTCAAGATTAATAAATAATCTTTAAGCCAGTTTAGCTTTTTTTCCGTGTAAAACGGACCGTTTTTTCATCTACACGCTGTTTTACTTGATACGTTTTGACTGAACAGGCAAAACTGACAGGTAAAACGTTATGTGTAGAAGGGACTTAACAATTTAAAATATAATAAATATAAATATATCTAAAGGAAATCCCAAAACGAATCTCCGACAACTACTGAGTTATAATAATAGACTTCTAATTAATTTATTAAAAAAGATTATAAGGCTTTTAAGAATGGACCACGGTCGTTCCCATGCTGGTTACACAACCATAAAACCTTACCATTGTATTCACCCTATCGTGACATATTCTTGGTCAAAGTACCTATATTTTACCCGTTGAGTAAAATATAGGAATGACCTCAGATAGACCTGATTTAGGGTCATGTCATATAATAGTAAAATTACATTTTAAGTTAAAATTAAATTGTTAAGTCGAATTTTGTACTTGTATCTTCATGGAAAGGTGGATACGATTTATTAAACTTGTTAAAAAATGTATACCGGGTGCGTCTTAAAAGTGGCTCATCCCCGATAACTTTTTTATTTTTTCAGATAAAAAAACAGAGATTTGGTATGTCAGAATAAGGCATAAATTAACATTGATTTGGTTTGATCAATTGTTTTTGGTCACTTCCTGTTTCACCAAAAATGACTACAATATTTGATTTTTAAATGGCACTCTCTGAATAAAATAACATATTATCATATGTCAACTTTTGACATTTTTGCTTAAAACAAAATAAAAACACTATTTTTTAATTAAGAAGCCTTGGAAAAATAGATTTGATCGTCTAATGTCAATTTTTTCAGAACGAGGGTGGCTCATTAGCATAATTGGAAAAAGTATTTTTTTCGAATAATTTGGTACCACACACTTGCTATTTCGAAACCAAGACAACTTTTTTATTACCAAATCTCGTTTTTTTATCTGAAAAAATAAAAAAGTTATAGGGGGTGAGCCACTTTTGAGACGCACCCGGTATAGTACGTTATAAATTTACTTAAATTAAGTAAATGTGTAATTATTCCTACCCTATGTCCTGTGTCCCACGAATGTTGACAAATTTTAGATTTGCGCAAATCAGCTTTTTTTCAATAAACATTATTTTTGTTAATATATATTGTTAATATATTAATTTTCAAAAAGCAAACCCTCCACAAATATATAGACATTTTAAACAAAACGGTTTTTTTTTGAAAAACTTCTCGAAACATAAATAGATACAAATTTTATCAATCCAATAAAAAATACTTGGCATAAAATATGATTTTTTTCTATTTTTTCGGTGATTTATTTAACCAAAATGCCAAAACTTTGCATGACATTATACCCGGGTACAAATAACTCTGTGGTACAATTAAATTTCTAGATTTCTTTCCGCCTACGCTCATTTTTATTGTTCTGGAGAAATTTTTCCGAACCATCTGAAATCATTTTAAGAATCATAATAGATGGTTTTTATAAAACGCAAACGATAGCGAAACCATTCTCACGCTTAAAAAACGAACTATATACGACTTCCTCAATATACAAGCCTAATTTATTTATACTTAAAATTATAGACTGTATTTTTATATAACTTGTAATTTTCTCATTATTTTACAATTTATTTATACTCAATTTAGACGTAATAGGGACACAAATAAACTGCTAAACTTACTTGTAGTACCTAATGAAACACCTTCAATTACTAATATAAAATCAACAAACAGCATGAATCAGCCTTTAAGCATGCTGCACCGATAATTTAAATAATTTAATATAACAACAATAACATAACTTCAATTATTTAGACGATCAATGAAAAATTAGGAGCGGTAGTGAATTTCCCAGAACGAAAAATCACAACCTGACTCATCCAAGTTTGAAAAATCATCAATGTTATAATTTTTTTGAATGACACACCAATTTTAATAAGAATAATAGTACCCCCCCTTATATACGTAATTAATAATTACAACTATGTATCATACCATCATCTTAACAATCATCCACTCGAAATGACAAAAAAATTGTAGCAATTATCAAATGGATGAATACGATGATGTTTTTACGAGTAGGCACCATGAAAAATGGTATTAATGTTTTCCTGGGAGCTAACAATAACATTTTTGTGGGTAAAATAATGTCAAGTTTAAATTGTTTATAATAATATATTATACAAAACGTTTAAGACAAAGACTTCTCACAAGTATGGTGAGGTTCAAGGATGGCCTGAAAAGAATAACCTATTATCAATTATATTACTGTGTGTAAATATATGTGTTAAGATTGGGTAAGAATAAGTTATTGTTTATTATATTCTGGTCCTTTTAAAGATACGTTAAAATATAAATTAATATTATATGTACCGAAGGCTGATATACAGGGTAGTCCAAACTGTATTCCGGAAACTTCGACAGCATATTCTGCACATTGGAATAAGTAAAAAAGTTTGTATAAATGTATGTCCTAAAATACTTAGTTTCGGAGATACAGGGTGTAGAAGTTTCGAAACGTTAATATTTCGATGAAAATTGGTGTCTGGGAGTTTTTTGTCATGAGAAATTTGATTTTGATGTCAATATGACTCCTATTAGTAGAGGGCGCCATCTACATATTTTTAACTGGTTTGAAGACTAATAACTTTTCGTCCGTACCTGTGTAAAACTCCTGAGTAAAAAAATATACATTTACGACATTTTTTACGCGAAAAAGGTCTCTTGGTAAAAATCGCTACGAGTAATGATTTTCGAGATATTTGGAATCGAATTTATCAATACCTGTCATCATTGACATAAATTAAACACGTTGACTAAATAGTTATTAGACTGAAATCATAAATTTGAAATGTTTTTTTTTGTCAGAAGTTCAACAGAAACTGTTTTATCGTCATTTTTTGCAGAAAAATTTATGATTAATTTAAAAAAATAAAAATTTCCCAAATTTATTATTTCCGTGAAATAACTATCTACTCAACGTGTTTATTTTTCGTCAATAATGACATGTATTGACTATTTCCGTTCTAAATATCTTAAGAACGGTTGCTCGTAGCGAATTTTACAAAGAGATATTTTTTACGTGAAAAATCACAGAGATGTAATTTTTTTCACTCGGAAGTTTTATACAGGTACGGACAAAAAGTTATTACACTTCAAAACTGATAAACCACATGTAGGTGGCGCCCTCTACTAGTAGGAGTTAAAGTCCCTAGATATATAAAGTACCGCAATTGGTTTGTTCAATGTTATTGGCGCCAAAATGGCGGATTTTTGGGGTATTTCTGGAAAAACTGTAGTGGTAGGACTGTTTAAATGTCACATTTGGCTGAATTTGTCATGTCAAATGTTGAGAAGCTGTCAATTTCAGGATAAAAATATTTATCCACATATTTTAAAATAATTATAAATAAATGCTACAAATTTATTAGTTAATAATGTATAGGCGTCGATATCTTTAGTGAAGAAATTGTATTACACGAAAAGGCCGCCATTTGATGTGGTTTCTAACATCGTCGATATTCAATACACGTTAGGTAGTGGATTGAATTTATTTATGCTCCAATGAATATTTTTAACAATCTTATTTGTAGTATAACCTACTGGTACATAAAACTTCATTATAGAACAAGACAAGACCACAATAGATCTGAGAATGTCGCAGTGGGTCAGGCCGAAATCAACCTCTAGAAATCTAATCTAGAACAAGACAAAGACCTTACTTGCAAACTACCATACATATCTTTTAAAAAGGATGCTAAGTGTAAGTGAAATCTCTACGTAATCATTCCCTAAAATGTTTAGTGTAGTTTAGTTTTCAACATTTTGCAGCAAGAAGTTTAGATAAATCTACAATATATTATCATCAGACCAAACGAAGGATAATTATTTAAAAGAATAAGTTATGTTATGATACATATATAGATTTGGATGACTCGCTTCAGGTGGTTTTACCAGTCAGGACTAACAGGGATATTAACCAAAACAATGAAAAAAAGCTCAAATAAATTTGATCCTAATAACAAGAATGTTGTTTATGCATATGCTAACTATATAGTTATTTTCATGGACTTAAATAGATTAGTTTTTATGTATTTATTGATAGTAATTAATATTTTTTGGTTCATATTGTAATTACTAATAAAAAGTAAAGAATATAATGTAAGCATGTAAAGTTATATTTAAAAATTTGGTCTTATACTGTCAGTTATAAATAAAAGTGTGTGATTTAAATTTGATTTTTATACATGGCATAAAATTGTTAAGATTCGTTTGAAGTTTTACATATTGTCGAGGTAAAATTATGCCTACTTAATTTATGTATAACAATAATTACAGTTATTTCAATGTTAAATTTATAGCAGTATAACTTTTTTATAATAATGATACTTAAACATTATGACTATGACACTTGTTGTTTTAAAAATATAACATTAAATTGCAGAGCAAAATATATTTTAATTGAATTATGTGGTATTAACTTGCTTTTATTCAACTAATAATAAATTTGTTGTATAAACATGACTCCATAACATACAAACCTTAATTATACAGCACACATAAAGAGCCCCTATGCGTTTCAAGCTTCTTTCTAAGTTATTTATAAAATAAGTGCACAATTACATACCTAAAATGCTGAAACTACCTGAAGTCATACTAACTGAAACAATCTTTCTATCAATATATTAATATATTTCAAAAATAGCAGGTATGTATCATATCAATTTAATTATTACATTTATTTGTTTCAACCATGGTTCAAAATTTTCTCATATAAAAGCCGGCCTTCAAATTTAAGTTTGTAGCTTATTCATAGTTCCAAAGACTTTCGTTACATCATGCTTATTTGTCAAAACTAACTACAGCATAACTGGTATAATAGGAAAGGTTTACTTATGGTATAGGTAGCCCGTTCTTATCAACAAACAAAGTTTTTCCAATTGTTTGACTGAATTAAGTACTAAAATGCTAAATGTTATTCTAACTTTATTTCTTCTTACCTATTAACTTACTTCTGTTGGCGTACTTTGCGCTAAAAGGTAACATAAAATAAATGCTAATACAAATGAAAAACACTTGTACGGAAACCATTCGTTTATAACCTCTTAACATATATAGGCCTAAAAAATTAAATTTATGAAATTGAATATTAATATACCACCTGATATTACGTTAAAATGAAGGTAAACTGTAGATAATAAACGTAATTCTATTACAATTAATAAATATTTTATTTTACGGTTTGCCTGTCAATGTTGGTCGGCCATATTGGCGCCGGACCGACCAGCTGCCAGCTGCTTAAAAAGCCGAAACTGTTGGCCTCCTTTTTAAATTTGCCGCTAGTTTTGGCGCCAATATGGCGGTAATTGCGGTACTTTATATATCTAGGGACTTTAGTAGGAGTCATATTGACACCAAAATCAAATTTCTCATGTCAAAAAACTCCCAGACATCTATTTTCATCCAAATATTGACGTTACTTCAGAAATTATTTTGAAAAAGTCGAAATAAAAATGAAACTTCTACACCCTGTATCTCCGAAACTTAGCACTTTAAGACATACATTTATACGAGCTTTTTAACTTATTTTTATTTGCAAAATATGCTGCCAAAGTTTCCTGAATACAATTCGGACCACCCTGTATATACCTTTATCTACCTACATATTTTTTGCTAAATGAAATAAAATGTATTTTCTAATACCAATATATAGTCTATAAAATGAATAACTTTGAATTTTGACCGTTATTTTTTACCAACATGGCAAATATAAAATCCCTCTATCCAAAAAGTTACTGATAGTCTTTAAAATGAGTGCCGGAACGAATCAGATAGGTAACTCTTTTTACTTTCGTGAAATAGAAAAGGAAAATAACAAAACAAGAAACAGTTCTTCCTCTTCTTGCAAAAATCAATGCGAAACTTATGCGAAATGTCATAATTGACAAAAGTAAAATGTCATCAGCCTTTCACATTTCTAAATATCAGACCAATGCCGTCTCTAATAGAACAGCCTCGGAGCGAGATTTATGACGTCACGCTAGTTAGATACCACGGATTAATAAATATGTTGTAGAATACATGGAAAACATAATTATTCCTCGTATTTTTGGTTTGTACTTTAAAACTGATATAGTTTACATGAAATATACATAATATACAGTTAATAAATACAATATATATACCTATTTATAGTAATAAATACTTTGGCAAATAAACTATGAACCATACAAATGCAGCAAATATTTTACAATATACCTACAAATAATGAATAGGTAGGTACATAAGATAATGGGTAAAATGTAAAATATATTTTAGATTTTGGGGTTTGAAAATCGATCTAATTTAATAAAAAACATTCAATATCTACTAATTGTGATGTATTATTATTTGCATTCACAAAATTTATATGTATATTTTGCAAGCATTAATGTTCGAAAAGTTATATTTGCAAATAATACAATATCATAGAAAAAAAGGCGTCAGCGATGGCTGTGAAATAAAGATCGCTGTCATTTTATATGTAAAATTATTCTAAAATTTTTGATTATCTTGGGATTTAGGTTCGGGAAAAACACTGATTAAATTTTCATTTGGTTTTTCATTATTTTTTTTGGTTTAAAAAAAACGTTATAGCCTAAAATATATAAAATAAATAAAAAAATAAACGTTTATAGCCTTCATCAGTGTTGTGTCATATGAAAAAAATAGTGTCGAATATAATCCAAAAAATTACATATACGAGGAATAATAATTATGTTTTCCATGTATCCTACAACATAATTAATCCGTAGTATCTAACTAGGGTGACGTCATACATCTCGGTCAGAGGCTGTTCTATTAGAGACGGCATTGCATCAGCATGGCCGCAAGTTGCTAACCTAATAAAATTTACACTAGAAAAGCCCGCGGGAACTGTCAAATTCAAAGTTATTCGTTTCACAGACTATATTAAAAATATACTCAGATACAATCATCTGATTTAAAGATGGATTTACACAAGCCACAATAGTTTCGGACTTTTCAGTACTACTATCAACTAATTTATTTTCTTTATTTTATGAATAGTAGACAGTAATCAGTAGACAGTAAATTATTTCTTATAGTAGAGAATCAATCGGAGTATATGTGAAGGAGCTAATTTATATATAGTGTAATCAATTTCAACACCGATACCGGTACCGATTTTGCCGGTGTGTGTGAAAGCACACTTAGGCCTTTTCTATAGATGGAACTGATTACAGCAAGCTGTTGCTAGGATATTCTATTAATTTTAATTGTATTTTTCTAGACATTGGGGGGAGGGACGAATATTCGTAAAATTTTAAGTATAAAGTATAATTTAAACACCTAATTTATTCAACTAATTTCGAGAATTTCATTGAAACTTAAATTTGAAATAAAATAGTAAAAGAAATTATAATATCTTTTGCAGTATGTACCTGTCTATATTTTATACTTTTTACAGACAAATAATAAAACATTGCCTTATACAGTATAAACCGCTTATAAACAATTCATATTAATGTCACACCAAGTGCGTACCTACAATAATATTTTTATAGATTACCATAAGTGAGTTATGGAATAACTCGTAATAATGAATGCACTATGCACTTGGAGGAACTGAATAAAAAAAATGCGAAAAAAATCCTTGGCAACGCCTATTTCATTATTAAAACGATGCACAGGAGGTCGGCACGATTAATGCAGTTCATTTTGTTATTAAAAGAGTAATTTTTTAAACATTTTGACCTTGTAGTTGACACACTTGGTCTTCCTTTTTTTGCCGGTGATGTTCAAGAATTAGCATTAGATATTCTGCATTGTCTATAAAAATAAGTTCTTCAGAAATTTTATCATTATACCTAATCACTTTTTATATAAACCAATTTAAAATCGAATTTTTTAATGGAATAAAAAAATATGTGTAAAAAATATCAACAAAGTAGAATATATTTACAGATACACTCTGTATATGGTATTTCATTTTTGTTTGTTTTACAGAGTTTCTCGTTTATTAGCAAGGGTACAAATATGATATTTTTACATTACTCAGTTTTTTTTATAAAACTTAAGATGCTACAGTCAGAGTTGTCCTCTTAGTTCCTGAAATGCAAAGCAAATTAATTTGAAATGGGTACATTTTTGGAACCCCCTCGTATTTCGGTTTTCTTGTAACTTATCGAAATCGTGAAAACTGAGACCCATAGAGTTTTTCACATAAAATTCAGTGGCGTAGCTAACTAGTTTTTCGGTGAGAGCTGTCATTCTTGAAATGTGACCCAAAGCAAGACGAGACAGTTTTTACGCAAGAAGTCACGGAAGTTTTTTCACTCAGTAGTTTTATACAGGTACGGACAAAAACTTATTACTCTTGAAAACAGTTAAAATACATGTAGGTGGCGCCCCCTACAAATAGGAGTCATATTAACATCAAAATCAAATTTTTCTTATCAAAAAACCCCAGACACAAATTTTCCTCCAAATATTGACGTTACTTCAGAAATTATTTGGAAAAAATCGAAATAAAAATGAAATTTCTACACCCTGTATCGCCGAAACTAAGCATTCTAGAACATACATTTATACGAACTTTTTTACTTAGTACTATATGTATAATACGCTATTGAAGTTTCCGGAATACATTTCTGACCACCCTGTAGGTATAACAAAAAGTTTTATAGTTATGCTGTCAAATATTTTTAAAATGATAATCAAACACTGTTTTTTTGCAGTTAAACGCTCAACAAACCTACGCAGGATTTCAACATGGCATCTGGCAACTTCTAAACCAAGTCGCTGGTGTGGATAGAATTCCAGACCCTCAGACCTACAGACAAATCCGTTACTATTCAGTCATTGGTCCAGCAGCTATGTCACCTGATCAACTAGACAGAGTAAGATCCTCTCATTTTATATCAAACATCATTTAATGACTTATTTCTTTGATTTATAGTACAACAGACTGATCAACGACATGTTAGCCATCTATAATTCAGCTTCGATATGCAGCTACAACGATCATTTTCATTGTGGACTTAGGTTGCAGCCAGACTTGAATAAAATTATGGCTAAAAGTAGGAATTGGGATGAGTTGCAACATGTTTGGACTGAATGGAGGAGACAGACTGGCCAGAAAATGAAGGAGATGTATGAGCAGATGATTCATTTATCTAACACTGCAGCCAGATTAAACAGTAAGTTGGGAATTTTTTTTAAATTAATCATAAATTTTTCTATGAAAAAATGATGTTAAACAGTTTCTGTTGAATTTATGATTTCAGTCTAATTAGTATTTAGTCAACATGTTTAATTTATGTCAATAATGACAGGTATTGATAATTTCGATTCCAAATATCTCGAGAACCATTACTCCAAGCGATTTACTAAGAGATTATATACCATTTCGATTACCAAAAGACCTATTTTACGTAGAAAACGTCGCAAATGTATATTTTTTTACTCAGTAGTTTTATACAGGTACGGACGAAAAGTTATTGCTCTTCAAACCAATTAAAAAATATGTAGGAGGCGCCCTCTACAAGTAGGAGTCATATTGACGTCAAAATCAAATTTCTCATGTCAAAAAAGTCCCAGATAGGTACCAATTTTCATCCAAATATTTACGTTACTCAATAAATTATTTGGAAAAAATTGAAATAAAAATGAAACTTCTACACCCTGTATCTCCAAAACTAAGCATTTTAGGACATACATTTATACGAACTTTTTTACTTATTTTTATCTGCAGAATATGCTGCCGAAGTTTCCGGAATACAGTTAGGACCACCCTGTATAACTAATTATATTTTTATTTTTACGCAGATTTTACCAACACTGCCGATTACTGGTCATTTCCATTCGAGACCTCTTCATTAGAATTAGATTTAGAAGATGCTTGGAATGACATCAAGCCTCTGTACGAGATGCTTCATGCTTACGTTAGACGCAGGTTGAGGGAGTACTATGGTCCAGAAAGAATTAGTAAGCAAGCTCCATTACCCAGCCATATCTTAGGTAAGGAGTAGATTTCAGCAATATTATTTCTCCTGCAATATAAGTCAAGAAACATAAACGAAATAAAGTTTCACAGTGTATTAAAAAAAATAGTAGTTTTTATATCAAACTTTTAACTACAATATCTTCTTATTATTTAGGAAACATGTGGGGTCAAAGTTGGTCCAACATCTTCGACATCACCCAACCTTATCCAGGCCAGCATTTTCTGGACGTGACTCCAGAAATGATAAAACAAGGATACACTCCAATCGACATGTTTAGGCTTGCCGAAGATTTCTTCGTTTCCCTCAACATGAGCGCTATGCCTTTAGATTTCTGGCAAGGTTCAGTTTTTGAAGAACCCACAGACAGGGTGGTTCTATGTCAACCTTCTGCTTGGGATTTTTGTAACAGGAGAGACTTCAGGTGGATAAAAATACAAAATATTGTTTAAGAAATATATTTTATGTTTTTTTTTCTGTTTGGAATAGGATCAAAGTGTGCGCTAACATAAATATGAAAGATTTGATCACTGCCCATCACGAAATGGCTCACATTCACTATTTTATGAGCTACAAGAATCAACCGAAAGTGTTCAGAGATGGAGCTAACCCAGGTAACTCTTTTATATAGTTTTTAATGTTATAGTTAGACTAAAATAACATATGATCTAATAAAAAATGGCGTTAAACTATCTATCTATCTATCTATCATCATCATCATCATCATTGGTTATTTCGTCCACTGCTGAACAAAACTATAGCCATTCCTTTCTATTTTGTGCCACTTGTATCCAGTTTCCAGCCACCCTCTTAATGTCATCTGTCCATTGACTAGGAGGTCGTCCTCTGCTTTTATAGGCCTCGTGTCTTGGTCTCCATTCCACAAGTCTCTTTTTCCACCCTCCATCTGTTATCCTAGCCACATTTTCTGCCCAATTCCATTTAAGATGTAAGACAGATCCTGTTCGATTTCGTATGGTATGATTGGGTATTTTATCTCTGAGTGTAACTCCCAACATGGACCTTTCCATTTTCCGCTACATGACCTGTATTCTATGTATGTTATTTTTTGTCAAAGCAAGTGTTTCAGCTCCATACGTGAGGACAGGCAAGACCCACTGGTTAAAGACCTTTATTTTTAAATATATTGGAGGATAAGATCTCAATGCCGACCACGACAAACCTATTTGTAAATTTTCATGTGTCTGATTATCTCTTCTAATACCGATCTCATGTCCTAAGTATTAATATATACACAACCAAACTTATATGGAAAATCATCTATTATTTTTCATAATTTTTGAGACGTATAAAAATTTTGCGTTTAATTAATAAAACTCAGTCCTTACCAATGACTTTTAATGAAAAATAATCCATTTAGTAATAAAAAAAATAATCAGTTCGCAAAATAAACAAAATAGTATTTTTTTGGTTTCTGAAACAAAATTAAGATTTAAATTTTTAATAATCAAAAAGCAACAACAAAAAGAAAATTGATAATTTTAATATTCCTTGTTGCCACCTCTAGCCCTTCTTATTATCAACCTCGTCTTGGGGTATGATTTCCCATTCTGCTAATGCTGCACCAATAAGCTGTTTACTTTCTAACACCTTCCTGGATTGTTTCGACGAGCTCTAACCCTTCTTTTGAGCTAGTCCCACAAGTGTTCGATAGGGTTTAGATCTGGTGAACATGCAGGCCAGTCCAAAACTGTGACCACCTTCCGTTTCAAGACATTCTCTAGTCACTCTGCTGGTATGGGGACGTGCACTATCGTGTATGAAGTTAAAATTATCCCCAATTGGAGCTCTCCAAAGACTAACGATTTGTTCTAGCACCAAATCAACATCTCCGACCAGTTAAAATTTGTTGAAGTGGTAACAATGGAGTTTTTGCTCCCAGTATAATACCTCCCCAGAACATTACAGTTCCTACTTTATATCTTGGTACAGATTTGGCAGCCTGAAGTCTCGCTCGTTTTCCTGGAGCTCTGAGAACCCGAATTCGATGGTTATCTGATCTTAGGCTAATTCTGGTCTCATCCAAAAAAATAACATTTTGCCAAATTCTCACTTGTCCAGTTTTGATGATGAAGGCGTCAATTTAGCCGGTCAATTTTATTTCGCCGAGATAACTGTGGGATCCGTAACTTTCTCCTACTGTAAAACCCTCGTGCACGAAGCCTTTTTCTTATAGTTTTAACTGAAACGTTCACACTTGTAGCTGCCAGAAGTTGTCTTTGTAGCTCTGGATGAGAAACATTGGGATTTATTCTAGCAATTTAACACACAAGGCGGTCTTGTTGTTCAGTTGTGACTCTTTGACGACTTTGTCTGGGCCTATCCTTGTGTGTTCCTAAACCGATTTCATGTCCTAAGTATTCATATATATGTACTTGTTCCAAAAGTATGTTATTAATGTTTAAATTACCACTCAGTACCAGGTTTGCCATAACTATCATCATAACTATTTGTTAAACTATCTATACTTGACAGAATTAATCAATTTTTGTTTATATCATCATACACTAGTTTTATTTTTTGTTCTAGCTTTCCATGAAGCAATTGGCGAAGCTATAGGCCTCTCAATTGGTACTCCAAAGCATCTACAAGCTCTGGGGTTAGTACCAGTTTCCATTGATGATACAGCCATCGATATTAACTTTTTATACAAGATGGCGCTGGAGAAAATAACTTTCTTACCGTTTGCTTTTGTCATGGACAAATGGAGGTACGATGTTTTTAACAGGAAAATTGGGAAAGAACAGTACAACTGTCATTGGCATATCCTGAGGTACTACCAAAATATTTTTTGTAATAATACTAAAAATAAAACGAAATATTCTTTTTTTATATAGAGAGCAGTACCAAGGAGTAAAACCACCAGTGCTGCGTTCGGAAATTGATTTTGATCCGGGTTCAAAATATCATATTCCAGCAAACATACCATATCTGAGGTAAGTAAAATATTCATTAATTAAAAAATATAGGAAAAAATTTCATTTTGGCGTTTTGTTGACATAAGGTAATGCCAAATATTTTTAAAAAATGTGTATTTGAAAGTGAATGAATAAGATTTTATGATATACTTGTCGTACCTTAAAAATATGTGCTCTTATTAAAGACTCACCCTGTATAATTTTTATATACTAGTACTTTTATAACAATCTTAGAGTTAACTTAAGAGTACTATTACACATTGGACACAACAAAAGGCAATTTTATAAAAAATACGATTTATTATCATAACAAATAAAAAAAAACATCACAATATACAGTAAAAAAGGAGGTACTAATACTGACGTAAACCTAATAATGTCCTAGAAAATTTTAAGTCGGTACTCTCAGGTACTAGCGGTGTCCGTAGCCACCTCCGTGCTCTTCACCCCCTCCGAAATCATGACCTCCTTCAAATCCACCTCCGAAATCATGACCTCCTTCGTTTCCTCCTCCAAAATCGTGACCTCCTTCCAGACCTCCTCCGAAATCGTGTCCTCCTTCAAGTCCACCACTGGAACCACCTAGGTCACCTCCACCTCCACCTCCGTGTTCTTCGTGGACTGGTACTGCTACCGGTACTTTTACAGGGTAAGGTACGGGTTTTTCTACGACTACCGGTACTTTCTTTTTAACTTCGTAAGGTACTGGGTTGAAAATTGGGATTTTTACAGGGTATGGTACTGGTTTCTCTACAGGTACTGGGATTTTCTTTTCTACGGGGTATGGAGCGGGTACAGGTACTTTCACGGGATAGGGTTGAGGTTTCTCTACTGGATATGGAATAGGACGGTCTACGTGTACTTTAACTGGTACTGGAACAGGCTTGAATACAGGGTACGGGATCTTCTTTTCAACATGATAAGGTACAGGTTTAGGGACATGTACAGGATATGGCCTGTCTACATGAACTTTCACTGGGTAAGGTACTATTTTCTCGACTGGATAAGGCTTAGGAACATGCACTGGCACCTTGTATGGATACGGAACCTCCTTTTCTACGGGATATGGTGCAGGAACATGCACTTTGTAAGGTACATGAACAGTTTTTTCAACAGGATAGGGTTGTGGTACTAGAACTTTAACAGGGTAGGGTTTATCTACATGAACTTCGACAGGGACGTGTTCGATCTTTTCTACGGGTACTGGTTTGTGAACGGGTACTTTGACGTGAATTGGTACTTTGTAGGGTACGTGAATTTGTTTTTCAACAGGATATGGAGCAGGAACGTGAACCTTTACTGGGTATGGTACTTTCTTTTCTACTGGTACCGGTATTGTTTTGATTACTGGGTAGGGTTGGGGTACTTTCTTTTCGATGGTTACGGTTTTTTCTTCGTGTACTCCTAAGTCTGAAATAAGGTAATATTATAAGTAAATTATGAGGTCATATTTCTCTGTCATAAAATATACCACCAAAAGATAGTAGAGATTAAAAGACCTTATGCAATTCTCAAATGGTTATGCAAGGCTTTTTTTCATGAGCTTTTCTGTGACTGAAAAGCCCGATACGTGATGTTATCTTTCTTCCGCACTCTGGACATTCAAAAATCTCGTTACTTTGTTGCCTCTTTAGTTTTTGGTTGTCATTGTTAACTGCGCTTACAATTCTTCTCTATTGTGTTGCATTGTGCTTCCTGATTTTGCATGCTTATCCCCTTCAAGTTTTCGTGGAAAATGTCCTTGGACCTTTTGAGTGTCCACCCGGGCTCCTCTTACCGTCTACAAGCTCACCGTAAAGCAGAGATTTTGGTATGCAATTTTCTTGCATTCTGCATACGTGACCAGCCCATCTTGAGCGGGATTTTGTGATCAAGACTTCAAAAACCCTGTCTTTTAATCCATATCTACGTTAAACGACCATGTGGGGTATTAAAATACCCCACACGGGTACTGGAAATTTAAATAAAACTTGTCCACGGACAGTGAGAATTACAAAGTCTTTTAATCTTTTCTGTCTTTTGGTAGTATATTTTATAAATCGTTTTATTTTTTTCATTACTTTTTTAAACTTTTCTCAAAAGTTTTAAACAGTACCCAAGTACCTTATACAAATACTGACCTATTAAACCATGTCCTCCACCGAATCCACCTCCGCCGCCTCCGAAATCGTGACCACCCCCGTAGCTGTGCTCCAGCCCCCGCTTGTCCTGCTTCTTCTCGACAGGGGCGGACTCCACGGGTTTGCTGTCGGTCGCTTTTTTTTCGGTACCGCTACTGTCTGACTTTTCTTCTGCGCTTGCCAACAGCAGGAGTGCGCAAAGCGCAGAAAAACCCTACAAACCAAGAGAAAAGAAATATTAAAGTAAAAGGATTGTACAGGAATATTATTATTTCAAAAATGTCTTTTTGGTATTTCGCAAAAATGTCTTATGAGAATATATATCGGTTATCGAATGAATCTTACAACAGAGTTAGTTGGTGTGTTACGCTGATGATGCAGCCATTATCGCGGAGACAGAGAACGATGTGCAGAGACAGCTTCATAAATTCTATCAAGTAAGCGAGAATTAAATATGATTACCTCTACAGAAAAAAAACTAAATGCTTAACTTTCTCTAAAGAGCCGGTAAGATGCAAACTGGTAGTAGAAAATAAAATTATTACTACCATGATCCAGAGAAAGATCTGAGAAGCCAGATAAACAGAACAACGGCCATGTCAGGATGTCTGAGGCAAATAGTGTGGACAAACCCCTTCCCCATGCGAACAGGCAGCAAAATTAAAATTTATAAGACCTGCATCAGACCAAGAATCACATATGGCATAGAAATCCGAGAGGAACCAAACGAGACCAAAAGCATGTTAAGAGTCGCTGAAGTGAAGAACCTAAGAACCATAATGGGGAAGACTAGAAGAAACAGAATTAGAAACACAAATATGAGACAACAATGTGGAATACAGAACGTAGTGAGATGGGGTAGGTAAAGAAAAATATAGCATAGCTCTTGAAGGGAAACTAAGGGCTAAGAGATAGCCGGGAAGACCTCCTAAATGATGGAAAGACAGTTGGCAATCCATCTCCCAAGAACTCCTACAGAGACAACCTTAAAACTAACAGATCAAATAAGTAAAAGAGGAAGAAGAAGAGGCATTTCACCACTGTAACAAAATCTACAAAATAAAATAGTTCTTGGAATCCTCCAACCCGGTCTAAGACATTCGAAAAAATTTCTCAGAACTTACGACCGAGAAAAATCAAAGATTTTCCTTGATTTAAGAAAGAACAATCTTCGGATTGTCACGGGGTTTCTAACAGGACACTGTCTCCTCAACGAACACCTCACTAGATTGAAGCTAAGAAACAAAGGCGAATGTAGATTCTATTGGAAAAATGGGGAAACACCAGACACCTTCTCACTGAGTGCACCGAGACGACAACCATTCGTGCCATTAACTTTGGTACATCTGATATCGGAGATGGAGAACTAACCTCTGTAAAACCGTCGCAGATACTAGCTTTTGTCAAAGCCCTGAGACTGTATGAGCTATAACTCAAGAAGGGGGGACACAATAGATTTGAACGCAACTTTTTTGGACGCAGTGATTAACAATTAACACCTCTTCATAAATTCTACATTCTTCTACACTCACAAAAAAATAAACCGCATCTTTGTATCTCTACTCATAAAAGAGAAAATGGGACACACTGTACAAATACGATACGCAATTCGGTCTCGAAAGTGTGAACGGCTTTTAATTGATCCACCATCGATAGAACAAGTACCCAATCGATCACTGAAAGGTTCCGATCGACCATTTGGGCGTTGCACTTTCAAATTTTGCAGCTAATGGCCCAATTACGCGACTGCACATACAGTGCGTTGAAGCGTTCTATGGCCACCGGCCAGCGTGTATTGAAAGCGTGACCTGACTCGGAAAATTACTAATTAGTCTTTTCGATTGTTTTTATTATCAATTAAAAACTAATAGCGTGGTGTGTGTATGTGTATATGGTAATTAACTATATAGAACCGATAATGGCTTTTAACTTAAATCGGTAGCGTATTACATAACTTCCGAACACTAACTGATTCTTATTTCTTTTTTAATTTTATTTTTAGTAAATGAATATACCGGGTGTTTTAATGCCTCTGTCCAAGTTTACAATATTTTTTGCATACTAGTTCAAAAGTTAATTATAATTTTATATGAAAAGAGAACATAAATGTACTGAATAATAATTGTCTATTAAGAAATTTTAAAAATAATTGGTAATCTAGAATTTTTCTATTTCCATCCGGATCGAGTATCTTCGATTTAAACCGATGTTTGTCTATTTATATTATACAGGGTGAGCCTTAAATAAGTTCAAATATTTTATGAGTAGTATATTTCGAGCCCAGAAACACAACATTTAGAATTTTTGTGGATTTTTTTTAGTTTTTAGTTGAAAAACATAATTTCTTGATATTATCCCAAAACATAGTAGATTAAATTTTCAAGAAAGAAATCCCAGAAAAGATCCAGTCTCAACTTATTTTTTTTGGAAATTTTCAAAGTAAAATAACTCTTATTTGGACTTATTTGAAAAACGGTAAAGAGAAAATACGTTTCTTTTATCGAGATCTACCAGCTCTGAAAATATTTGCACTTATTTAAGGTCCACCCTGTATATCTGAGCATACCCCCTAACGCACACACACACACAGACTAATTTTATTTATTCATGGCTCTTACATAACCTAATTGGATGCAATCCTTCCTCTTTAACATACCCAATCGTTAAAAATTCTTCAATAATTACTATTACATTCTCTTCTCGATCAATCAAAAACTAAATTACGCACATAAAAATACCGACTACAGCTTAATACAAACGTGAAAAAAATAAGTCTTCTTATTTCCTATAAATAACGTGGTTATATAACGCTGTTTCTATAGCACGCCATATGGTGTATTGTCATTAGGACAGCTTGAAGTGATTACCAACCATTTCGGTTGAGTAGCAAATAACAGCTGCATTTGTATAAAATGAATTATTTAGAATGCAATTAGACATCAGTGATCTGCACTGGACATGATAATGTTACATCATACGTATAACAATTAACAATAGAATTTCATTTTAGAAATTTTCCTTTTTTTCGAAATACAAGCATTTTCTACGTTTCCAAGTTTACCCAAACGATATTTTGTAATGGCTTATTAGTTAGTTTCGTTGATTATATTAATAGATTCGCTATTTTAAATTGCTTTAGATTTATTTTTGTCATTCACGACTTTTAGTTCGAATTTTTTTCATTATCGAAAGTTTTTGCAAATGTACCATACAATCGAAAAAAAAAACGGCGTCAAAAACGGCTGGGGAATGACAATCGAAGATAATTTTGGCGAGGGCAAGCTCTAGACGCCATTACTTGATCCGTACTTTATTATAATATTTAATGACGCTACTTATTGAGAGTTCGTTAGGTCTTAAGCAGGTTATAATGGTATAATCTTCAACTGAAACGTTTTTCAGATTTTAGATAATGTTATTCTATTGCAAAGTATATTCTTTAATATGATGATGAATTATGAATGGCTCATGGCATTCCTTACACTCTGTATACGTTTTTAGTGCCTATTTTGCTTAAGTAGAAAGTTTACAGAATGATAGTACATTATAAATTTAAATGGTTTAAATAACTATTAAATAGAATTTATATAGCTCTTAACTCCATAATGTACAGTCCATAAATCCTGCCTACTTTCTGCGAGTACATAAATACAAGAGTGATTTTCTTCATAAATCAAGTTGTGTTGCTTTTTTAATAACAAATACATTAAATACTATTTGCATATGTATTATACAAGATGAACAAGTTATCCTGAACAACTTCATATCAGGATTTGTATTCGATATTTCCACTCCAATCTACTTTAAACATTTGCAGTTTATTATACTTTCCATTTTAAAAATATCTTCATAGATGTATAGGGTGATTCAAATTAATATTAAACTTTAAGTACTGCATGATCGAGAAAAAACGGCGTCCAGTTGGCTGGGAAATGACGATCGATGACATCTCCCATATAAATTTACATATAAAATGACAGCGATCTTCATTTCATAGCTATCGCTGACGCCGTTTTTTCTTCGATCATACGGTAGTATTTTTCAATAAATTACAGTTAGATCTACTCCAAAAATACCATAATGCCACATTCTATGTCGAGAAGGTTTTAATATATTACCATTTTTAGAATAAATTTTCTATACATCTAAAACTCTACCAAAGATTGTAAATTCATTTTAAGAAGTTTTTTTTTCTTAGAATAGGTCCAATAATCGCTCCCATCGTCATTAAGGGGCACCCTGTATATATTACACTTTAATCTTTAGAAAGTTGTAGAAAAATTAAAATTTCAGGATGAACAGATTTTTGAGTAGGATTGCAATCATGAAAAATTAAATCTTAAAACTTAATCACGGGACTAAAGTTTAATTGTTCTGAACTATACAGGGTGGTCCGAACTGTATTCCGGAAACTTCGGCACCATATTTTGCAGATAAAAATAAGTAAAAAAGTTCGTATAAATACATGTCCTAAAGTGCTTAGTTTCGAAGATACAGGGTGTAGAAGTTTCATTTTTATTTCGATTTTTTCCAAATAATTTCTAACGTAACGTCAATATTTAGATAAAAATTGGTGTCTGGGACTTTCTCGACATGAGAAATTTGATTTTGATGCCAATATGATTCCTAATTGTAGAGGGCGCCACCTACATATTTTTCAACTAGTTTGAAGAGTAATAAATTTTTATCTGTACCTGTATTACTTAGAAATTATTTGGAAAAAATCGATATAAAAATGAAACTTCTACACCCTGTATCTCCGAAACTAAGCACTTTAGTACATATATTTATACGAACTTTATTTTTATTTGCAAAATATGCTGCCGAAGTTTCCGGAATACAGTTCGGACCACCCTGTATATATCTCTTGTCTATGGCATTTACCGAAAACTATAAATTTACTCCAGAAGTACCAAAAATGAGTTGTTTACATTTAAACAACACAAACAAAGCGATAATTATGCCTCATCACGAAGCGATCACCCATCAAATTCAAACCATAACGTTAAAAGCATATAATTATCTTTCAACACCTTTCTCTCTTGCTTTTTCTTGCGTATTTTTTCATTTTCTGTCTTTGTTCGTTTCGGAAAATGGCAAAGAGCAGCGCCATACGGTCTTCGGTCGGGTACCAACGGTACCAACAAAATAAAACCGAATCGAAAACCGTTTGAAAGTGAAAACTAGCAATTAGAATCTACCGAGGGAATTTCT